GGACAGAGACAAAACGCACTCTCGCCTGCATTTCGCGCCCTCGACACACACGATCTCCGCAGAGGGTTGCGTTTCGTGGTGCTCCGGCGGCAGAAAGGCCGGCCTTAAGAGAGAAAGTAAAGAAGAGCGAGAGGTGAAGATGTGAGGATGTGCAGATGAGCGGAGATGTAGATCTGCAGATGTGAAGATGAGCAAAGATGTACATGTGAAGATGTGAACATGAGCAGAGATATAGGTGAGAATGTGGATGTGCAGAGGTGAAGATGTGAGATGTAGATGTGAGGATGTGAAGATGAGCGGAGATGTAGATGTGCAGATGTGAACATGAGCAGAGATATATATATATATATATGAGAATGTGGATGTGCAGAGGTGAAAATGTGAAGATGTAGATGAGACGTAGTTCTGCAGATGTTTTTTTACGAAGAACCCTTCGCAGACGCTCTCGGGAATAACACGAAGCAAGACTATGGCGCAGTTAAGCCGAAAGAGCGAAGATGAATCCAAGGAGGCTCACATGTCATTTTGCACCGAGAACCTTCGGCACCCCTACAGTAAGAAATGGGCACCTTGTGGGTTTGGATCTCGGCTTGGATCAATGAAAGGAGCAACCTTGTCGAGGGCAAAAATATGAGTCTGCACCCAACCCTGCGGAGAATGGCAGCGCCAACAGCAAATGCGAAGAAGAACAATCTATTTTCTGTAATACCCTCACCCTCAACCACCGACAACACCTTTTTGGTTGCATACCTGAAGCTCATTCAGCAGCAGGCCTGACACCCTGCCGAAAACTGAAGGAACAGCTAAGTGTGCTCAAAGGTTTGTTTCCTGCCATGACGGTCAGGGTTGCCTACCTTTCATTCAACACAATTCCAGCTGCTTGGAGTTCGCTCTTGGAACCTATTTCAAACATTTTGGAAAGCAAATTTGTTCTACAGTAAGTGGGTGTCAAACTTGTCTAAGTGGGTGTCCGTCACTATGCAGCAAAGCGCCTCCAATATCAAAGCTCACTGAAATACATGTCACGAGACTTGAGTTGAGACGGCAGCAGGATGCCGACAGCAGGATTGCCACACAGATTGCCCTCTCCATGGACTTGTACTGTCAACATGTACGGCACTGCTTTGAAAACACTGATGCTTGCGCTGCCTGCACCTCTCGTGGTGCCCCACATTTTCGGCAGAAATTCCTGGCCAATCAAACCTTGCAATTTTGCACTGCCTCTTACACGGGCAAACATCTCACTCGATTGCAGCGCCAAGTTAGGATTGCGGAAGGGGACAAGTGTGCAAGGGAATATGCTACGATGCCTGCAAAGCCTTAGCAAGATACCCTGCGTTTAGAATCGCCCGTCACAGCTGCTTCGCTGTTTCGCACCAAGCCGAGGATCTTCCAACGACATTCGTGTGATAGAACACAACTGATGGAGAGTTTTGCTGAACACAAACAAGCTGCAAAGAAACTTGAATACTGCTTGTGATGACCCAAGTCTTCCTCAGTATTGTTGTGGTTTGTGAACGAATTGAAGTCTTGCCAAGATGCGAGTCCGCGGCAAAGGCATTGCCACAGGCTGAACAATTTGAGGCCTCCAGTCTGATGCTTTCGCATCAGAGTTGCGGGAGGCTTAAGAATCTGAGGTAAGAGCTAGCATGCAGTTGGTCAGATACTGGAAAAGCACCCTCAGAATGCGTAGATCAAAAATCAAAGGAATCAGCCAAGACATCAACAGTTGGCAAAAAGTTGGCATTTGCATGGGCTTGTGACGCGTCTGCCACCTTCTGCCTTCTTGGCCGGAAAAGGCCTTCTCGTGATTCACAAATCAGTTTGTCGCAGCCAAGGTGCTGGGTTTCTATGAGGCAAAGCGAACTCAGAATTTGGAAGTCAATCCTTCAAACCTTGTAGTACATGTCCCTCAATGGATTGAAGCTGTCCTGTGCAACTGAAATAACAAAACTCTATAGTATGTGCGTATATGTTTTTTGTAGGTGTATATATATATATATGTGTGTATACACAAGGTTCGTTTCCTGATATGATAGCCTCTTGGTGAAAGACTCAGGCCGTCAGTGATTCGCTTCAAATTGGCATGTCCTTCGTTGCATTTGGCTTGAGCCAGAATCATCAGAAGGAAAAGCTACTAGGGGCTCCTGGCAGAGCTACTAGGAGCAAGGACGCTACTAGGGGCTCCTGGCCTTACTACTAGGAGCATTCTTGCTACTAGGAGCAAAGGGCATCGCTACTAGGAACAAACTTGCTCAATCTGCACAACAAAGAAGCTGTGCGCACTTCTCATGCTTTAATCCTTGGCTAGCGGTCTCCCCAAGATCATACCAGAAACAACCATACAGTCCTCCATCATTTGATGGTCTTATTCTTATTGGCTTAAGAGTTGCTCTCACTTGGGCAGCAAATGAGAGCACATCAAAGCTGATTTGTGCAGCCCTTGTCCCCTCCTTCCTACCAGTTGGATCTTTTTTTCACGTCAAAGCTGTCCGAGCCATCAACTCAGCCTTGCGTTTATCGAGCACCATTCGATAGGCCTGACGAAGCAGTTCGTAAGAATTTCCCAATGTAAAAATGGAGGCTCAAGCCACGCAAACAAAGCCCCTGAAGTATCAACCAAATACCGGGTTTCAGAATGTTTCAAAAAAGGTGGGCTGCCTGAGAGGCAACACATTGTCATGAGAGCTATGTGCAGACAAATGGTGCACTGTTCAAGCCATGTGACATTTAGATTCTGCACAAGCCTCGGGGTACTTCTCTCGGCCAAGTCTAAGAATGGACCTCTGTCAAGCGAACGGACCCAGATTTATCAAAACGGTTGTAGAACATTGCTCCGCAGACGTGCACCAAGAAGAGTGGCGAAACCTGCTGAGACAAGTTTGACGAACAATGCTGGTTGATTTGTGCATGTCATGTGCGCTCAACTGGGAACTCAACTTTCCAAAGTCTTCACCAGAGGCCTGCAAATCAGCTCAATTTTGATGTTGTTGGTGGTTCAAAAGCTTGCTGCTTTGATTAACATTGAAATGTCCAAGTCTGTTCAGAGCACATCACATACCCTGATCATCCTGGACTGCATTTTTGGCCAGGGTGAGGGCATTCGTCAAGGGCACCTGCATGCACATTTCTTAATGAAAAATGCCGGTCAGGTGAATGGGGTGGCTGGGCTGGGTGGGGAGGTTTGTGGGTCTGGGCAAGCTGCGGGGTTGTTGCGGGTGATGCGGCCAGCCTTGAGGTTCGATCAACATATATACTGTATATAGTATATAATCTAAACGAGATCAAAGGGATGTTCAGCCAGGTTGTTCCTTTTGTGGAGTTGGGGATGGAAGGTGTGCAAAGCTGGGTCAGTGTCAGGATCACTGTGAGCCCCTCGTCAAAAGCGTGTTCCGAGTCCGTCAAAAATGATACCAGCTTGGTTCTTACTGATTGGTTGCCACAAAACACTAAACTGTTTCCCGTGCAAAATATTGAAACTCAGCGGATTGGTGTCATTTTGTGACTGTGCAAATGTTCTTTACGATTAAAGCCGGTGTAGACGGTTCTACCCGAAACTGACCCCACACGAACTAGACTGTAAAAGTGTGAAAAAGGGTGGATAAGCTGGTATCACACACTTGAAGCCAGCTTAGGGCAATCGGTTGAAAAGGTGCGCCAGTGCGTAGTCATGGTCCAAAGAACCAACGATGTTAGACTGCAGCGGACGGCCAACTAAGCATTCTATATTACGCACTTTCCCTCGATATGCAAAAGGGCTGCAGTATTGTCATGCATTTTTCATGATGCTTGTAGCGCTATATACATGAGGTCTGATCTCTATGGAAAATGGTTCGCGCTCCTTCTTGGTGATGTGAGACTCTAAAATGCTTCTTTGAGCTCACTTTGCCACCATAGCCCACATTCTTCCATTCAATCCTTTTCTCTCGCTGCAAGCTTTTGCATTTCTATGAGGAGCTGGGTTCCCAGAGATTGGCGATATCTCTGTCTGTGGTCTATCTCGAAAATCTCTCCTCATGCACATTCTAACAATTCCTTCTCTACCATGTCCGCCGGGCTGCGGGTTTTTCGTTCCCTGAATGGTGTTTTCCCTTCCCGGGAGGCGTTGGCTTCCCGCTCGGGTGTTCTTCCTTCCCTGTGAGTTTCTTGTTCCCCTGGTGTTTTTCGTTCCCGTACGCCGCGGTGTTTTTCGTGCCCGGCTGGTGTTTTTCAGGCCCTGAATGGTGTTTTGTGGGGCCGCTGGTGTTTATTGTTCCCTGAAAGGTGTGTATCGTTCCCAGCGTTCCGGGTTTGTATGAAAAAGTGAAAGGGTGTTTATTGTTCCCTAGAAACTGTGAATTGTTTCCAAAGTCTAGCTTGCGGCCGGCTATCGCAAAAAGAGACAAATAGGAAATGAAAAGAAAGGAAAGGGCGCAAGGAGAAGAAAAGGTCTAAACTTCGCTCGTTTGATCCATCCTGTCTGAACTATGCAGACCTCAGAGGTAAAGACGTTACATTTAGACCTTTTAAGCTTTCAATTTTTTGTTTACATGGTCTAAAAAGTGGATGTGGCAAGGTTTTCACATTTGACACCTTTAGTGTGTGACGTTTCGTAGCACAGATATGAGACACAGGCGGGAAGACATTACATCGCTACATTTGAGATTTTGTTGTTCAACAAGCCGTCTTTTGTATATATACATGGGCGACATGCGCTCACAATGCAACAGTCGACGTTGTTTATACATTTCTTTCTTTGTTTGGTTCTATGTTTAAGTTTGCGGACGCTGTCAGGCGAAGCATGTGTACTAATTATGGTAAAAAGAGCTGGCGCCAAAGAACAACCATTGATTTCAGCCAATTTTTTCCCCTCGATCTTGCGACGTTCGGCGCATTACCGCTTTGGGCGCTTTTTCGCAGAAGCCTTTGCAAATTTGGCCTTTTCCTTCCGAGGTGGAAGCTCTGCGGTGGAACGTTTTCGTCCCCGCTTGCGTCCAGCGTCTGGCAAAGTATTAAGATCTATACGAGGCGGCCGGGTAGGCAAAGTAAGTGAATCTATGAAAACAGTGCGTTCGCATTGGCCATGGCAGGCAAAGATAGCGCAAGAACACAGGGTGCCATTCTCAGTGTAGACAATGTCCTGGTAAGATCATAAAGCAACGAGAAAGTTACAGAAAGATTGCTGGAATGCTTTGGGCAAAAAAAGATTTAGGTTTAAGCGGCTGAATAACAAAGGTTCAAACCATCAAAAAGTCATATCGCAAAACGCATAAACATTGCTGTCTTGCCTGAAAGAAAGAACGCAATGCTGCAAGCTGCATGCAATCTTTGGAATCCAAAATGTGACTGTTGCGGCTGTTGTAGCCCACTGCATCCGAGCGCCAGCTAGGGCAGAATTTACGTTCAATGGGCATTTGGACTCCGAATGAATCATGGCCACAATGGTTGGCGATCCTTGCGCAATTATAAATGTAGTCGTTGGTGCTAGAGAGGCAAATCGCGCTGCACAAGTGCGCCCAGCTCGCGGGAGAGCGGTTTCACTGATAAGGCTAGGATCGATGTTGTGCTGCAAAAAAATTAGATAGTTTCGGGTTTGAGTTACCTTTGCGAGAAAGATGGTAGACTAAACGAACATATTCAATGAAGAGATGGTTTCACACAAGCAAAAACAAGCATGTATAAGCAGCGTGGGACAGGTTTAGTGAATGCAAGATGATGAAAAGATTGAAAAAGCATGGAGTAAGGACTGACTGTTGCGAACCTGGTTTTGGAAGTGGACTGGGGTGTCATTGTCCCAGTCACACCATGATGCCCAATGCTCGGAGTATAGCTTCTGCGTGACGGCAAGCACGTGTGGGATATTGCCTTTCCCATCCAAGGCTTTTAATCGAGTTTGCCACGGAGCGTGCAGGGCTTCAGCAGGCTGATTGCCAGAACCACTGCCTGGGACACAACCGTCACGGCCACCCCACATGCTACATAAACTGGAGGAGTGAAGAGGGTCAAGTTGCCCAAATCTCGCGTGTAATGCGGCAGGCAAGGGTCGTTCAAATGTGC